CACCCTCAAAAATGCTTCATTTTAGGGAATGGATAATATGGCCTCTGCATGTATCAAAATTTTACAAGGTATCAGCTGCCCACCCCTCCACCTTTATTTTACAAATAAAGGAAATGAGATTCTGATTGCCTTGATGGCTTTACTATGATGACATAGCTAATTAATGGTAGAAATGCACAGCTTCATAGGACAGGCAAAGTGACACAAACCATCCATGAGTGACAGTTCACCATAGAGCTGTGATCTTAGAAATTAACCTAATTCCTTAAGCCTCAGAATCATGATTATGTGAATTCTGATATCCTCCTTAAAGAGTGCTATGGCAATTAAAAGAGGTATATATTCTTGAAAGGCCTAGAACAATGGATTTAAAATGTGATCAATGTTAATCCCTCCGCCAGAAGAAAAAGTAGTCTTACCCACTAGCATTTATAGAATAAGAGAACACTCACAGATACTTAAACGTGGATTAAATTGGGGGGGAATTTTTAGAATTTTCAGAGTGTCAGTGCAAAGACTATTTGGATTAGTCAGAAGATAATTAATAAAAAATAGCATAGACAAGTTCATTTTCAAATGAGGAAAGCAAGCTAATATGAACCTAAAGGACTAACATGGTCAGCCTTCAAAGCATAATAAGCCCAGTACACCTAGGAGAGGTGTAATGACTTACCCTGTCTATATTGCAACTTCTTCTAGCTTCAGCTTCAAGGTAGGAGTTAAGACATATTTTACTATGGTAAACCTTGTCACACATCTCAGAAATGGAAAAAAAAAAAAAGGATTAAAATAAGTTTTGTGGATATGGAAACAAATGTTAGGTTAAGCTCTCCAACCATTTGGTATTCTTTATAATATATGTATCCAAGGCAATAGCTTCATGTAACATATTGGATACCTTTAATGAAACATAAATCTGTATAGGACATTTTATTTGAGGCACCATTCGAGTTTTCTTCAGGATGACAATTTAGGACAATGTGAAACAAACATGCTCAGCAACTTTATACAAGCAGATCTTTTGCACAACTATACTGTAAAGTTTAATGATTTATTTAATAAATATTGAGTAGTATCTCATGCGATTTTCATAAATTTAAAAAATTAACATTTTTTAAAAATTTCATTACAAAGTTATTTTAAATAGTTTGCTTAATGTGAGGGTGTTTGGATGTTTACCCCATAGATCCTTAGCCCAGAAACTTTGCCAAGTGTCTTTATATAATTTTTCCTTAGAACTCAACATGGCACTAAATATTTCCTTATGGCATATCATGATGGAAAACAATGACATGTAACATTGAATAAGTTAGGGATATATTTCAGATAGCATTTCTGATAGCCAAACATAATAGCCTTTTTTAAAAAAGTGCAGTTGTGGCTGAAAATATGATTAAAACATATATCTGATTTTTGGAAGGGTTCCTTAATAGCTTAAATAAGAGACTTAAACTAGGTTTTTAACTGGTAACCTCTAGTATTATGAAGCAAATTGTAATGAATAATAATGATAAACATGTTAATAATAACCATGTTATTTGTCATACTATAAGTTGCTTTTTTAACTATAAAGCTGACTTTGACATTTTCATTCTATTTTACACCTCTTAAATATTTATTGATTTCATACAACTGACTGTATCCCATTTCTCTATATGTTTTAACAAGTACATAAATCAGAAATATACTCTAACAAAGGCTTGACTCATGGAATATGTGAAAAAGACCACTGTCTTGCACTTGTATATACACTTCTCACAAATTACTGCAGATTTATTTTTCTAAAAATTCTGCTTATGTAGAGTTTCTTACTCAGTATTGGTCATGATTTTGAATTTGATGTCTTGAGACTGTATTAGAATAAGATTTTGGAGAAGAAAGAGATACAAATATTTCTTTTTAACTTCATTTTGGTTTCATCATGTGAGGAGATCACTTGGCTCTTGAAGGAGGAAAGTTGTGATGGTGATCGAAGGAAACATCTACTATTTCTGTGCTACTTCTAATTTAAAAAATACCTAACAAAATTCAGGTATGTCTAAATAACTAGGCAATTTATCTGACCTTTATGATTTTAGGCCTGCAAGGTTATGTTTCTATTATGGGTTGAGTTGTGTTCCCCCTAAAGATGTTGAAGTTCCAATCCCCATTTCCTAACCCCAAGTTTCTATGAATGTAAACTTATTTGGAAATAGGAACTTTGCAGATGATCAAGTTCAAAATAGTGAAGCACTGCTCATATTTTTTTAAAGATTTTATTTATTTATTAGAGAGCGAGCAAGAGAGAAATAGCATGAGAGGGGAGAGGGTCAGAGGGAGAAGCAGGCTCCCCACTGAGCCGGGAGCCCGATGTGGGACTCGATCCCAGGACCCCGGGATCATGACCTGAGCTGAAGGCAGTCGCTTAACTAACTGAGCCACCCAGGCGCCCAGCACTGCTCATATTTTATTAGCATACAGTATTTCTTCTGTACACATGTGAAGTGCAATACCCACCAAGGGAATTTTGCAGAATCAAGTAATAGGTTCTAAGACTCTCATAAGCCATATTTGATACCAGACTGCTAAAAAGGATCTAGGATGGAAAATATACTTTACCAGTATGGAAGCATCAAGCATTCCTCTTCTGCATGTTTCAGTGGCCTCTACCGCTTACTTGCGAGAAGAGAATACGTAATTCAGGTGAGTGCAGGATCTGACATGAGGTAATATCTTTTGTTACAGTTTCATAGACATAGCTTCTAGAGTCCTCTCAAGAGATATGCCTAAAATCATCATACTCAGGGAAGTCTGAAGCCATGGTTTCTTATCAAGTATTTTTAGATCTCTGAGTCCAGATGAAATTTGCCAAGAGAGGTTATTTTTAATCATTATCTTTGTTGCTTAGAAACATAGAGGACATACCACCTTATTAAGTTGCCAGGGGAACAGAGTTATAAAATTAACCTAAGGTCAAATTCTCATGACGAAGGATAAAAGGTTTTGTTAATCTATTAGCCACAATACATAGTAACACAATATTAGTGGAATTAAGCTACTCTCTAGTAGTAGTTTGCACTTGGAGGATGTTGAATACATTAAAGCATTGAGTATTTCACTGTACTCAGCTCAGTTCTTCAGGTTATAGTATACCTCTAGAAAGTGTGAAAACACAGAACTCTTGTAATTTATGCAGAAACCATGATCCACATTAACTACTTCCTTTGTTGAGATGACCATTCCCCGTGGTGTTTCTCTTCTCAGTCGTTCCTCCTGTGTTCCTAGGAGTCTTTGCTGTGGCATACCCTGTGGTCCTTTTATTCCACTATTACTCCTTCAAATATTCTTGCTAACTTAATCATAACTCTTTTGTGCTATGATCAGCTTTATCAGGAATTTTCCCCTCTAGGAAATTTACAAAAATAATAACTGTTCTGCTCATAGTCTTGGGGCATATATTGTTTAATTAATAAGTTGTTTCCAGATTTTAATAATATATTTGAATTTTACCAGGAATCTTTAAGTCATCAGCTTCAGGGAATTATAATAGGACATTCAGGCAACATATTCAGTATTTTATGGATATTATTTTGGGCATGTATTCTGTTCCAGAGCCCTAATATCATTTAATCATGTTCTACTGTCCTCATGTGTGAAGTTGACTCTATTAAATGTTTTATTTTTCTTTTGATTTGTCATTGTGTTATGATGTTAAATCATTTTCTATTTTCTGGTCCTTATATTTGTGAATAATATATGTTTACTTTTTGTGTTTGAAGCTGACTTTAGTGTTTTCTCTTTTTTTATTTTGTAATTGAACTTCTTTACCACCGCTCCAGAACCAAAATTTCAAACAAAATGTGACCACATAAACACACATACATACTTACAAAGACCCTTATCAAAAAGCAAAAACACATTTAACTTTGATCTTGATCTTGTGCAAATATGGTTTCCTTAGATCTATACCTTCTGAGAAAAATTTCATAAATCTTGTTCTTTGGATTTTGAAGAGCACCTGAAAACACATACACACAGATCTGGGAAGAGTACAACACATTGGATAATTGAAAAGACATAATACACCATAGAGCATATTAATGCAAGGCTTTTAATAAAGGCAAAAGATACTATAAAGCAGAAGAAAGAGTTCAGGCAAGAATTAGGGGCCCCAAAACTTCCAGAAGCATCTCCCTTAAGTCCTTGCTATGAACACAAGGATGTGTTTTGTTTCTAGATTGAATTACAAAAATTTGTAAAATAAATATTTATTTGGGGAGAGCAACTTGAAATATTTCAGTGGCGTCTTTCAGGACCCTCTGTTTACATAGTTACTCCAGGTGTAAGCTATCGGTAAACCAACTGGTTCTAAGTGCCACAAGGGAATTTCAGATATGAAATACAACAGGGTAAATCATTAATTCGCCCAGTGCCTTTATCTTGACCAAGAGATAGTACCAGATTCCCAGGCATTCCCAGAGATAAGCACAGAGCTGTGTGAAACCAGCTGAAAATAGCTTTATCCTAAATGATAACTATATGTTCATTATTATAGGGTTTTTTTAATTAAAAAATAATAAAAATATCAAAAAATCAAACAAATTTGTATTTTTAGAAATGTTAATATACTTGTATAATCAGATAGCTTTGGCTATATGAAAAATCATCCCAAGGATTTGATGGTTTAAAACAACAATTATTATTAAACTCCTGATTCTGCTATTTAGCAATTTGGGCTGGGCTCAGCTAGGCTGTTCTTCTAGTCCTGGAAGTGTTTATTCATGTGTATATACTCAGCTGCTGGGTTGATTGTGTTCTTGTTGCTTTGGAATGGTTCATTTCTGCTTTGCTGGCCTCTCATGACAGGTTTATAGGATGCCTTTTTTGGTAGGGTTCCCAGAGTGAAAATCTGCAAGGTTTTTTGAAGTCTAGTCTCAGAGATGGTACAGTGTTCTTTATGCCACATTTCATTGGCCAAAACAAACATAGATTGTGTTATCCAGAAGCAGATACCATGATGGTATTTGTGGTATAAGTTATTTATTATGGACTAACATCTATAAAAGCAAAAGAGAGGAAATAGGATTGGGCAGAGGAAGAAGTTCATCTTCATGCAGGTTCAACAGTCTCAGTCAATATGGTAAGCTTGAATAAGGCTTGTCTGTCAGAGCGTCATGCATTGGGCCACAGAGACTGGACTCTTACTCTTCTGTCTTGCTCAGGCACTGAAACTAGGAAAAATAATGACTTTAAATGACAGTGGCTCTAACTGAGGCAATATCACCACTGTAAGCTCTCTAATGACTATACCTCATAGCTAGACAGTAAGTCTTCCCTTGAAGGGGAATCTGGGCAGAGCATTTCTGAATCTATTGGAACAAGTCAGAAGGCCACCCAGATTCAAGGAGAGAGAAAAAAGATTTGGCATCTTAATGCAAGGAGCAGGTGATGTCAAATGTGACCATGTTTGCATACTTTCATAACATTCAACGATACCTTGAGCACAATTTGTACTTAAATCAAATTTATCTAATTGAATGAACTATTAAAAAGCAAATAAGGACAAAGAAGGTAATCAAGTAGGTACATACTGTGGTAAGTAGGTGTAGTAAGCACATCTACTTTCTTGTTTCTGGATGAAATTGTATGATCTCTGCTCTTAGGGATGACTATTATCAACTGTACATTCAGCATCATAAATAAAATGATTGGGTTGCTAAGTGGTTTCACTTTATAATTATTGGTCTTATCCTTTTCCCATTCTAGGCAGGCTACGCACATTGATGTAATTTCACTGTTTAAAATATGATTTGATTTTCAGTCATCTATTAAAATTTAATGTAGCCTGACCTGCCAAAAAAAAAAAAAAAAAAAAACTTGGACAAGAGTTCAAGAGGACTGAGATGTAACCTAAGATATTCACCTAAATTTTGTTATAATTCTGGGCAGAACATTTTTCATTTGTGGCCTCATCAATTGTAAAATAGACTCCTAACTACTTTGCCCTGTTTATCCTCCACCCCTTTTTGTAGCACAGATTTTGTGACTTATCTTTTCAAAATATTTTTCCTTTGGAATTTATTCCATCTAGTAAATGCTTCCTGTTAAGTCCTTAGTTAGAGCTTTTATTTATCCACTTTTATTTTGTTCCACATTGATTTTTCACTAGAGTATCTTTCATGAGTCTGCATCTTGGTATCAGCTCTTTTCTCATTTTGCAGAGGTGAGCTATCAGATGGCAACTGGTCCATATATCAGTCTACTTGCCATATGTTCTTCAAGTCAGCAAAAGTAATTGTGAACAAGTAAAGGAAAGCTTGATGTTCTTTTTGAAACAACAACAACAGTTAAATACTTGAAGGATCTGTTTTTTATATTGGGTAATTCTTGGTAAGTGGTGGCTTATGGAGAACAACCCTGACTATGCAGACTTCAGGGAGATGTTCCCTATTCCTAGTGATGGGTCTCAGCTATCAGTGTGACAGTCAGTCACTGGTCACAAAATCACTAAACTTTGCACTCTGAATCTAAGCACTGTGCCACCAACATCAGTGCCTGTGCCCTGGGCATGACAAATGCTGTGAAGAGAAAGAGATTTACAGTTCTCTAGACAAATTCATTGCTGTAATACCAACATCTAATGTAGTAGTCATAGTATAAAATTTCTGTCTGTGTGATAGCACTGTTGCCAACATGTTCTATAGGGAAAATGTGTCTCACTGGATTGGAAAGAAAAACACAAAATTATGAGTAAACACCCCATCAATAAAGAATGTGCTAGCATAATTAAGAACTATTTGGATATGTTATTATTTATTAATATTATTATATTGGAAAAGGTACCAAGCAAAAACTAACAGAGAAGTGAGATGAATAACAAAACAACAAGAACTCAGACTGAATAAATTTGGGCCATTCGCTTGAGTTGACACTCTATTCATGATTATAATTGAAACCTATTGTTAATGTTACAAATGAGACTTATATTTAATATATCTGGGTAGGTCCAAATGTTTTTCTAAATAGCAATTAAAAACCACCATCAGTCCTTGGCTGAATTTTGAGTAATTCCTCTAAAGGGAAATTCTTTTAAGCTATATATATTTTGTCCCAGAGTATTTTTTTTCCTTCTTTGCTTCAGAAGGCAAGAAAGGTGTTAAAAATAGGTGGGGTTGGAATATACCATATTGATAGACAATTTATTCAGGAAATTTTTCTTCAGAAAACAAACAGAATTGGAACAAGTTTTGAGAACAATGTGAAGAAATGAATAGAAATGCTTAATGAATTCTGGTATCACCGGATGCAGAAGTCCCTACTTCATTGCCTTGTGTCCTTTGTCTCAAAGTTCCCTGCCTGTCTTGCCATTTACCATTTCATCAATAAATAAAAAAATCACTAAAGGATTTTTTTTTTTTGATTCTTGGAGCTCAGGCTCCTCTCAGGCTTAGTATTAAGCAAATTTCCATATTAACTATGAGTAATGTGAAAAGTTGTAAAAACAATGACAAGAGATTATCACCTCGTGACTTTCTTTACTGAACAACTAAATTCTAGTTGGATTTCTATAACCTTGATTAGTTCAGAACAGCAAGGTACAGAAATATCACTTCATGGTTAAGTAGGGATCCCCTGATTCAGTTGAGGCACTCAATACATTTGCTTTTGTCAAAAGCTTTACTTTATATTATAGGACTTAAGTTATTCTGTATATAACATTTTAAAATTTAGTATTTAGGGTAAACTTCATATATAAGTGCTAGGTAACTCAAGCTACCAAATTTCAAAACTATTTTTGTGCCCAAAGAAGTTAATTCTCTATTTTCCATAATCTCTTAAACACTTCACTTGGAAATAGAAGACATGTTTCACCAAGTGCCTGTTTAAATTTAAAATTCCACAGCTACAGGATCAAGTAGGCAGTAACTTGGCAAGTGTATTTTTCTAGTCTTTAAGGTAAAGAAGCTAAAATGAAGCATGAAATAGTTAAGATCATTAATTGTATATATACAGAATCTTGCACTTTATCTGGGTTGTAAATCTTTCATTCAGTTAAGTCAGCTGAATTCAGATTTGCTTTTTATTTATGTTCTTTTCTTAGATTCTTGAAATGGATAAAGCAAAATCAAGAGAAGATATTCATCAACACACATTGTTGTGACTTATAAAGATCATGTTACTCCTTATCAGAACTGAGCCACAGTTAACTACTCACTCCCCCTGACATTGAGTCACTGCCATATTCTCCACCCAGCTCCAAAATAAAGTAGCAGATTTTTAAGGGTAGAATAAGAAAAGCACAGGTGGTACCACCTACTGTAAATCCTTTAGTTCTTCTTAGCTCACTAACAGCTGTTGGTCTTTTCACAGTTTGTTAAAAGCAAAACAAGGCATAGAATGTGGGCTGTTGACATTGTGCAACAATACCATTTGTTTGCTCAGATCATGACAACCAATGGCAACTTGAGGAGTGTTTCCTTTTCAGGCTTTTGGTAAAAAATCTTCAGGCCTGACTGCCTACCTTGCAAACAGTGCCCTAGATTTATTGATTAATTCTGGACACATTACAAATTATGTAACTACCATGTGTTTTAATCTCGCTAATCTGAGAGTGTATATTATATAGTTTAAAGGAATTTTAAGAATTAATGAGCATCTGTTTCATCCTGTCTAGGCATATGGGGGAGAGAGGTGAAAAGAAAAGGGAACAAACTGTTTTGAGGCTTGTGGTAATGTTGCCTTAAATGCCCCCTTTCAGTGAGGATAGGACTTTCCTTTCTCATCTTTTACAAGAAGCTAGGCTTTCCACTCATAGAGTGTTAGTGATTACAGCAAGAAGTAAAATTGCCTAACTTTGATTAGGACTGGGCAACTGAGGAAGAGTCTTAGGTATAGGGCTGGCCAACTGTTAGAAGAAAAGGAGTCTTAGGAGTAATTAAAGGAGGTGATGCATTTGGCCTTGATTCAGGCTATCTTCAAGATCCAATATGGTTCACCTTGATGGATAAAGTATGCGATAGGATCTTCTAGATCACAGCATTAGTCAAGCAAAAAAGTGTGTTTCCATTTGGTCTATTTTGAAACAAGATCCTAAGTAAGGCACAAATAGACAGTAGAAAACAGAAAATAGCTCCTAGGGAGCAAGGTTTACAGCAAGATTGACATCAGCCTGCCCAGGATGATGAAGTCTGAGGATATCCCGATATCCCAAAAATTTATTCAGAATTAAATCAGCAAATAGGTAAGGCTGAGGCTGTGTATTAGTAATGATTAAGCCAAGAGTTGACAGGAGTTGGAAAAGACAAAGGTAAATTAAAGAACTTATAGCAGTGACTTTGTAACACTATGCATTTGTAAGAATAAAGTTCAGCATATTATACAGAAGATAATTGCAAGTCTTCCTGTAGTTCTGGAATCAATTCCAGGAATTTGCATTTTAAAACTCCAAATGATTTTAATATAGATCCTTCCCCCAAATTGCAATTTATAAGCAATTCTTATTGTCTATAAGGGAAATAAGTGAATACCTAAACAAACATGATAAATGATAAAAAAATGGTACATTGCAATAAGAGAGGTATGGGCATCAGGGACAGTGTAAGGATTGTTTTGAAATCAATTTGACTTTAAGAATATTCATCAGGGAGGGCGCCTGGGTGGCTCAGTTGGTTAAGCGACTGCCTTCGGCTCAGGTCATGATCCTGGAGTCCCAGGATCAAGTCCCGCATCGGACTCCCTGCTCAGCGGGGAGTCTGCTTCTCCCTCTGACCTTCCCCCCCTCTCATGTGCTCTCTCTCTCTCTCATTCTCTCTCTCAAATAAATAAACAAAATCTTAAAAAAAAAGAATATTCATCAGGGATTATTAATGTGAAGAGGGAGAGAATCTCAGGGAGATGTAAAGTGGTTAGCAGAGGTATGCAGGTGGGTCATCTCATATTATACTCACTCTAAATATCTCTTCCAGGAGAATAGCTCCTATTAAGGCATAGGGCAGGGTACGGTGATCTAAAAGATAACACTCTGTGGGGCACCTGGGTGACTCAGCCGGTTAAGCATCTGCCTTCGGCTCAGGTTATGATCTCAGGGTCCTGGGATGGGGCCCCAAGTTGGGTTCCCTGCTCAGTGGGGAGTCTCCTTCTCCCTCTCCCTCTGCCCCTCCCTCCTGCTTGTGTTCTCTCTCTCCCTCTGTCAAATAAATAAATTAAATTTTAAAAAAATCTTCAAAAAATGCATTCCTAATTCTTTTATTTCTAACTCAAATGATTTCTTCCTTCCTTCTTCCTTCCTTCCTTCCTTCCTCCCTCCCTCCCTGCCACCTTCCCTCCCTCTTTTCTTTTCTTTCTTTCTTTCATTTTGTCTTTATAATTATGCCAAACTTTATTACATAAATACTTTCACAAATTTTCCAGGTTCTGTTTATTTTGAACATTAAAAGAAAATAAATCCACAAGATTATAAATACTATGAGTTTCCTTAATGTCTTCTCTTTGAACATGAGTTTCTTGGACTTTGTCCTTCCTAAAATGTAGTGAAGGAAGTTAAATTACAAGGGATTTAAGAGGAAACATAGTAGTTAGCCTGAAACTATGCTCTGATTTTTCTCACCAACTTGGAACTTTCTGGAGAAGACAATATAAATCATGAAAAATTATAGAAGTAATGGAGGGTTGGTATCTGTTAACAATACACAGCCTATTCTTCAGTACCTCCTTCATGATTCTACTTAGCCACAGAATTCTTCCCTTGAAGATCAAAATCAACAAGCTCTGTTTTATACTTGGTTTTGACTTTAAAGCTCTCTTTATTGGGTGAAAGAACAAAATAACTATTTATAATGCAATTACTTATAAATTAAAAAATAGATTAATTTTAAATAGAGTAAAAAGAAAAAATATACAGTAATTTTTCCATTTGCCATAATTTTGTATTATTGAGGTGGAAATATTTTTAAGAAAATAATCTCAAGTATGTTGAAAAACAAGAATAAATTATAGAGAAACAAATATGGAAGAAATGGATCCATTCTCATCTGACAAAATATTTTTATTCCATGAGCTTTTTCTCCTTGTTTTTATAAATCTGTACTATTTTTACAATAGTGGCCCAGTCATTTGACTCATGTTTAATTAAAACCATGAATACATAAAAAGCATCTTCTTTCAAATCTACCCAATTCATTGGGAAAAATATCTGTAAGAGGGGAATACCTTCCTCTGCTTCTCTTTTCTTTCTAAATCTAAGCAAAACAAATCAGTCATTCAACAGCAAGTATGTCAAGAACTCAATGAGGAATATTTTTGTTTAATTTGCTTAATTGTACAATTGCATAGTACAGAGCTTAAGATGGTGGTGAACCCAGAAAATCTCCAGATTTTTTTCAGATTCTCCAGATATTTATTCATATCTTTTTTTCTTATGACCTTATTTTCACAGTGTTAATTTGTTTTTTACCTTTTTACTGCAATATATGACAAAATAACAGAAAACCAAACACACAAAGTATATATAGCATGATTATTATAAGGCAGACTATTAGAACATACCACTCAGTCAAAGAATACAACTTTGTCAGCCTCCCTAATTGATAATGTATTTGCTCCATTACCATCACAATCCTTTTTCCTCCTACCAAATGTAACCACTATCCTGACTTATAGTAATCATTCTCCTTACCTATAACTGTTGAAGGATATGAGTCAAACCTTTGATCTGTAGAATTTCCCACAGTGTGAATTTTGCCAATTGCATATTCACTGTATACTTATTGTTCAACAATTCTCTGTCATTGTATCCCTGCAAAGTACCACATAGATCCAGAGGCTTGATCAAAATCAGGTCCAAGGCCGTTGGCCAATGGAAATTTCTTAAAAATGGTTCCTATTTGTTTTGGAGGGGGTCATAACCCTAGTAGTTTCGATAACTTATTTAATATCTGATAAGATGTTCCAGGCCCATCTTGAATTTCCTGCCCTAGACTCAGAGACAGCCATTTTTCCAAGAAGTCATAGTCTCTGGAGTGGGCAGTCATTTTTTAAATGAGTAGTGTGGATACTCATTGCTACTGGGCTAAATACTGATTTGTCCTCTGCTGAGGAGAGCATTAGGGAATGTGTGTGTGTGTGTGTGTGTGTGCACATTTGTTTAGTGTGTGTTTAGTCTTTATCTTTATTTCACCACACAAAGAAGCCTGGTTGTCAATAACAGAAGAATTGGAATATTCTGTAATTTTCTTTATCCCACATTAAACACACAGCATGCTTGCCTCACAGTTCCTTTCCTTGAATATATCAAATATTTTTATTTTTTTATTGTATGCAAACTTGTCTGTGGAAAGTATAAAGAACAACAGAAACAGTATTATTATAAAAGGAAAAAAAACTAATGATAATGTAATTTTCTTCCTCTTTTAAATCTTTTACTCTATTTTCACAAATACTGAAATAAATTTTTTTTTTTTTAAATTCAATATGGGGTACCTGAGTGGCTCAGTCAGTTAAGCATCTGCCTTCACCTCAGGATCATGAGGTCATAGGACTGAGTCCCACATTGGGCTCCTTGTTCGGCGGAGAGCCTGCTTCTCCCTCTCCCTCTGTCTGCTGCTCCCCCTACATGTGAACTCTTTCTCTGTCAAATAAGTAAGTAGAATCTTAAAAAAAGAAAAAAGAAAAAAAAATTCAATATGTTTATAAGAATATTCCTTGGTGTTGGTCATTCTAATTCAATATTCACAGGTATTTAATGTGATTTTTATTGTGTTTTAAAGTATGTAATTTTAATATATATGTATTTTTCTTTCATGAAGGTTATTTTATGTGTAACTTTTGTATTCTGCCCTCCTACTGTTGCTTTTTCTTTAATTAAAAAAAAATTTTAGCATATTTGATCTTATTTGCCTCTCAATATTTGTGCCTTTCTTTTGGATCCATTTTATCATTGTGTTACTTATATTTTTAATATATTTTTAAAATTTTGAAATAATTTCAAACTTATGGAAAAATTAGAAGTAGAATACCAATAAACATTATTTTTTTTCCTGAAACTTTGGATAAATTTTTTTACATGGTTTCCACCATCACCATATAATTTACCATGTATTTTCTATACAAAGGACTTCATACAACACAATCAAAATAAACTATCAAAATCAGGAAATTAAGATGATACATTATTACCATCTACTTCTTAGGTACATTCAAGTTTTGCCAATTATCCTTGTCAAGACTTTCTCAGATTTTGCCAGATTTGTAAACTAACAAATTAAGCTATTGCAGCTTCATGGATACTAACCATATGCATGTGAACCTTGGGTTGGAGACAAAAGACTTTTATTCAGCACAGCAAGCAAAATGAGCCTCAGATTTGTGTCAGATTCTT